CGAAGTCCAAGCGTCAGAAAACTGCTTCGCACTCGCCGGCTTCCGCTCGTTCACGCTCCAGCCAGGCTTCTCGCCGCTCGATATCTCCGATCTAGATCGAAGCCCCGATCGACTCTGATCGGCTCCGATCTAGCGGCCTGGACTTGATCCGAAGCCGTGGGGTTGCCTGATCGGCTGTGTTCCTCTTCTTTCCAGGTGACTTGCCGCTTTCAATAGCGGGATCTTCGAGGGTGAGGGTCGATCCGATCTCCAGTCAAGCACCAAAGTCTGGTCGATCGGGTACACTTGAATGCGATACAATAAACACGAGAAAACTAGTGTAAGCAGATTTGGCCACTATATTATCCAGATCTTACACTACAACGCTAGTCTCCACAGCCTATGTCTTGATTGGGTTTGAGGGGCCAAAATATCCTTCCCTTCCTGGCGAGCGACGAAGAATTGTGCACTTCTAAGCAAAACGGACTCTGATTGATGTTACCATGTGTCTACCTACTTCCCATCCCAACCTACATCTTACGCATACCTATGTTACGACCCATCTTCATGTTGGTTCCTCCGATCTTCCAGTCGATCACCAATCAACTTCTTGATCGGTGGTCGAGACCTTGATCGCTGATCTTCTTCTTGGCGGTCGACACCTTGATCGCCGATCAGTCTCCTGGTCGTCGATCGTCGGCGTGGGACACTAGGGCCGACCGGCTCCCTTGGTCGTCCGATCGCCTTCGGACCCCTCGTCGCCTGTACTTTCGCCCCGTTCACCGATTGAGTCCGATCCATCTCGATCGCCGATCGGTGACACTCCCTCGTCGATCTGCTGGTTGCTGTCGGTTGATCTTCCGGTCCCGTAGGTCGATCGCTATCCATCAACGGTCAGTGAACCTCTTTCTGGGTTCATTCCGCTTTAGTCAGTCGTCAGTCTCCAGCCATCAGTAGCCTTCTGCGCCTTGTTGATCTTGAGGCTTTCACTTCCGATCGTGATCTCCGCCGCCCATCTCCCCTTCCAATCGCGTCGATCGAAATCGCGTAGGACTGTTCCCGCGACGTCGAGCCGTCTGTGTCTCTCCGTCGATCTGGCAGCTGTTCCCGGTGCGTGTCCCACGGCTGTCATCCAAAGTCCTACCACGATTGGGTATCACGATCCACGATCGTCTGCATTTCGTTCGATCGGGGCGGGTCTTCAACTTGGACTCCAGAATTTCTGCCTGCGCTTCACCACAATACCAGCCTTCTTCTCGCTCCGCAGATGATGACCTAATTTGAGCGGAGCCGAAATGCTAGCTTCTATTCTCACTCCGATTGTTTAACACAAACGGACCGTGGCTGGCAGCCCCCTGCATGTCGCTCTCCCTCTTCGTGCGCTGTATCGACTCCTGTCCGCGCTGCACCGTCGTACCATCGCTCCGTTGATTCGTCGCCCGCGCTCCACGCTCCACGCGTCCTTTTGGCGCGATTTCGGAAATGGACGGCTTTGATTTGTCGTACTTAATGTGTATGCGTACTTAATCGAACCGGCCTTCGTACTTAACAGATCATATCGCTAAATACGTAGCTAAGAGAGGTGCTGAAATTTTTAGATTTATTTTACATTTATTTACGAGCGTAATTTTTTCTAACGCAACCATATACTCCTAAAGAGACCATACATTATGGTTGCGGTAACGATTCCGAAGTATTGCAAGCCAATTGATGTAAAGAGGGTATCATTCTAGGATCGTATATGTGACGGGGTCACACAGAACCTTGCGCTGAGGAAGTTGGTTTCCTAGAGTATACAAACTCTAAGTGAACGACCGTTCACGTGTCCCTGGTCTGAGGGGACGAAGTACTCACTTGAGGGTACGATTAAGACTGATTTTTATTTATAGGTAA